CCTGAATTCAAATCTGGTCTCAGAACAGACACTCCTCACTTACTAGCTGTGTGATCCTGGGCAAGTCACTTAAACCCAACTGCCTCGCAAAAAAATAAAAAAATAAAATGAGCTGGAGAAGGGAATAGCAAACCACTTCAGTATCTTTGCCAAGAAAACCCCAAATGGGATCACAGAGAGTTAGAACAACAGCAACATGGGGATAAGAATCTACCTCACAGGGTTGCTATGAGAACCAAATGAGATAACATATTTAAAATGCCTTACAAGCCTTGAAATGTTATCCAAATGCTCACTAAACCTATCTGGAGTATCACAGACCTTTCAGTAGAATGGGTAAGGCCATAAGCATATAAACTTTTCTTATAAAACTCTGCAATAATAGTGACTACAGTTTCAAAGCCTCTTTGTGCCTCAGTTTCCCTATAATAAATGGGGACAAAGTATTCAGAGTGCTTATGTTACAGGGTGGTTATGAGGCTCAATGAGAAACTATATATGAAGCATTTTGTAAACCTTTAAGCTCTGCATAAATATGATTTACTATTATCATTGATAAAAAATAAACAATAAAAATATTGAATTTGGAAAACTATTCTTTCCCTCTTCTGCTCATTGACACCATTTTAAAAATAGCCTTCCTTTTGTCCTGAAATTAAGCCAAACCTGACACTGACAATATTTTTAAAGTTAGGTTATTCTGAGCTGTCAGCTTTCCCATGACTTCCTTCCTCCTGCTGCCCGTCTCTTCTAATGCCCTTACCCACACAGCTTTGAACTTCCTTATTAGGAGGGAATAAGAAATATGCAAATAATTCCATAATGTTCATAGGGTCAGAAGTGACCTTTAATAGTCATCAAGTCCAGCCTGCTGCCCTCGCATTTAAACTTTACCCATAAAGCATACTTTCTACCCTACTTTCAAATACCAGCAGGAACTTTTTTCTTTTCTTTTTTTTAAAACCAGTTTCCAGAGGAGAAAAAAAGCAGGCCAACAGGATGAAAAAATTGTTCCTTATATGTCCTCTAAGTTTCTCATGCTGCAAAATAAACCTGTCTCCTCTAGTTTTCAGTGGAAGCAGGGAACAGCTGGTCACTTTTCCCCATCTTTTGTATATCTACAGACCAAGATCAAGTTGACCTTTGCCTTCCTCTTCTCCAAAGTAAATGATCACAGTTCCTTTAGCCATTTCCAATAATCTTTATAATAGAATTGATTGTTTTAATCATTTAGTCATTGTAATAGCATTCTCACCAAGCCTCCCCAGACTCTTTATGTTCCTCTTTAGTTGCAGGGCCCAGTCTGAACCCAGAAACTTAATAAGAGTCTTCCCACTACTTGCTATTTTGGAACAATGCAATGTGATGCAGAAAGAGAGCTAACTTGAATTTTAGGCTCAATCAAGCCACCATTTACAGTACTCAATAAAGTCATAAAATGCAGTTATAGAATCTGAGATTGAAGGATTCCCATACTCAGTGCATAAATATTCTCTACAACATTCATGAAAAGTTGTCATCGATGATTTGCTTTACCTCCTCTAATGGAGAGAGTCTCGCTACTTCGTGAGGTATCCCCTTCCATATTTGGACAACTGTAAGTGTTGGAAAGTTCCTCTTTATACTGATGTCCCTTGTGATTTCTAGACAGTTAGGCGATAGGGATTAAAGAGCTGGACTTCAGGTCAGAAAGACCTGAGTTCAAATCTAGCCTTAGCTATTTACTAGCTCTGTGGCCCTGGGAAAGTCACTTAATCTCTGTCTGCCTTAATTTCCTCAGCTGTAAAATGGGGATACTAGTAGCACCTACCTCACAGGGTTGTAGTAAGGATCAACTGACATATTTGTAAAGTACCTAGCACAATGCCTAGCACATAGTAGGTAGTTAATAAGTGCTCATTTTCTTCCTTCACTCATTGGTCCCAGTTTTACTTTATTAGCTATATAGATTAAGACTCCCACGGGATAGACTTTTTAAAAATATTTTTATTGATGTCTTTTTTTACATCATCAAAATTTTCCCCAGTATCCTTCTCCTTTCCCCTCTCAGAGAGCTACCCATATAACAACATTTTTTAAAGAAAAAAAATGAAAACGAGTAGGGAGGAAATTGACTTGACTGATCAAAATAATCTGAAAATATGTGCAATGTACCACACTTCTGGACCTCCCCCCTTCATAAGAAGGTAGGATGTGGGCATCTTCTCACATCTTTTCCTTTGAGCCATGCTTGTTCTTTGTAATTTTGCAACATTCACTTGCTGGTTTTGAATGTGGTTCCTTTCATTTAGCTGGTGAGTGAATAAGCATTTGTTAAGTGCCTATTAAGTACCAGGTATGTGCTAATATTTACCTTGTAATAGTTAGTCACTGTGTATGTTTTTCCACTTGGCTGGGCTCACTTCATTTTGCATCAGTTCATGTAGATCTTTCCATGCTTCTCTATATTCATCACATTCATCATTTCTTGCAGCATCATAATGTTCCAATACATTCATATGCCACAATTTGCTGAGATATTCCTCAATCTATGGATATCCACTTTGTTCCCAATTTTTTGACAATTGTCTATGCGGCTATTATAGATTTTTCACAAATTTGAAAACATGTATTTTGCTTCACCTGATCTTCTCAGCAGAAGTTTGATTCAGATATCATGTTGATTATAGATACGTAACACTTACTGTTTTGCTATGATTATTACCATAGTATTATCTTTTGAAAATGTATACTTTTTGTCTATTCTACCTTCATTTAAGAATGACTCTGGCCTTATGCTTTTGTTCCTATGTTTACTCTCCAATAAGGTACTAAATTTTTACCCTCATGTTGCTGATTTTCCATCAGCCACTTTAGACCCTAGACCTTTTTTCTGCTATATTCATAGCTTCTCAATCATTTCCCATCTTGTAATTCTGCCATTTGTTTTCCTTCTTTGCAATTAGTCTTACTTAACTATTCTGTTTCTGATCACGTCTCTCCTTTATCGATGTCACTTTGTTTTAGGCTCGCATGTGTGTGAGTTACTGGGTCATTATTCCAAATCTCACCCAGAGCAGGGGCAATAGTTGCCAGTGATGAGGGATCCCTGCCTGGGGCTGTGGAGGTAGGATCAGAGTTAACAGTAAGGCAAATGTAATAAAAAATACAGACATCATCATTATTGCCACCACCATGTATATAGTCCCTATTTTCTAGGCACTGTGCTAAGCATTTTACAAATACTATCTCAGGTTAGTACTGAGATATTTGTAGAGCCAAGACAATATCTAAGGAGCCAAGACAAGTGGGAAACTGGCTGCTGCAGCAGAGATTTAGAGTCAAGAAGTGAGGTCAGGAATAAAAAATTTAGGGACTGCCAGGGAGTTTAATACTTGTATACCTCAACCCGAAACCCCAAAGCTTTTTATTGCTGCTTTTTGCATACACCGTGTCCAGCAAGTGAAAACATACCATCATAGTCACAGAGAGGATCTACTTGGCTGTCGCCTGGCTCAGATACCCCCATAGAACCATGATCTGAGTATAGTAAGGACAGTGAGGGTACTCATAAATGCCAATGCCACTCATTTCAATTGACAATACAGAAACCTAGTCTCACTGAAATGAAGATCATGCTAACTCTTCTCCCTCTTCTGACTTGGCACTGTCTATACTGATATGAAATGCTCCTAGTCATTAAGAAGCAACATGGTGGTAGACAGAGTGCTCAACTTGAAGTCAGCAAGATCTGAATCCTGAGAATCCTGCCCCAGACACTTACTAGCTGTGTGACCCTAGTAACAAGTCCTTTAACTTTTCTGAATCTGTTTTTTCACCTGCAAAATGAAGTTATTAATAGTACCTATCTCATAGGGTTATTGTGATAGTATCTATAATGAAACAGTACCTATAAAGTAATGCAAATATAAAGTAATACAAATATAATGTAAATATCAGGTATTATTAACATATAACACGGAAGCTAGGAACTTGAAGAATATGTCTCTTATGTTGCCTAGATATTATCAACTTCAATCAATCTGAACCCAAGAGTTTCAAATCAATCATTTATATTGTGACTATAATTATATACCATTTTATATCATTGAACTGTAATAATAAAAGTAATAACAATGAAAGCTGCATTTATATAGTATCTATTATGTGAGGGATTGTGCTGAGTGCTTTATTCCATTTTGGAGAATTAACTACTTCCTTAATGATTCTCTAATGATTCTAGGGTACTCTTTAGGAGAAAATTTCATCTTCCCCTGCTCTGAGTGGTTATCTGGGTCTGAAATAGTTAATGCATTTTCATAGACTCTTTTCCTTCCAGGAAATTAGTTATCAGGGCTAATTTTAAATATTAATTTGTAAAGAAGACTATCTAAATAGCTCAGCTCATGTCTTCAAGCTATTTTCTATCATATTTCCTCTAAGATACACAGTAGAGTCAATTTGTTTTGAAAGGTAAATAGGCCTCCACTATCAGTCAGTCATAAACATTATTAAATGCCTACTAAATGTCTAAGGGCCAGGCACTGTGCTATGTGCTGAGGATACAAAATGAGTCAAAAAATAACACCTGCCCTCATGGAACTTACATTCTATTGCATACTACACAGGCAAAAGGAATTCATAGGATGATTGATGAGAGAACAGAAGGGAAGATTCCTTAAATGAGTAACAGTTATGAGTATGACAACAGGAGGGAAATCCATTAGACATTAAACTGCTTGAGATCAAGGCATAGGCCATTTTTCATTTTGGGGTAGCAGAAGTTGAATTGGCTTACAGAATGTAACACTTTGTAGGATGATCTTTATAGGTTATTTCAAATTATAACCTTTACTGCATTCACATCGCCATTAAGAGGCAAAATAGTGTTCAGGAATATGTCCAAAACCGTGCTATACACTTTTTGTCTTAATAAATGCATTGTGAATTCATTGAAGGGATTCAAAATAAGAAGTAAAAATTGGAGTCATAACACCAATAATGAGATACTTTAATATCAATGTTTATTTTATTTATATGTAACACAGAGTTTGACTACATATCAATAAATAGGTCATTTTAAATGAAAAAAAAAAGAAAGTACTGGGCATGTTTTGGGGGAGAAAACTTAGAAAAAGTACTATGAGCCTCACTTATCTCCATGGGGGTTAGGATGGGCCATTTGAAGCAAGGATTTCATAAAACTGGATATGGAGTTGGGGGAGGGAACAAGGGAAAGTGAGTAGAGAGATTAACAGGAAAAGACTATTTCTTACTCCCCACTCCTTCTGTAAGTGTCACCTTAGCTCTACCAGCCCCATCATGAGAGATGCTGGAGCAGAATCATGGTCTAGTGGATGGGACATAGTCTAGTGGATTGGGCAAGACCCCAATGTGAAGGCATAACTTGTCGGCAGCTTCTACCTGTTCTGACTAGTGAATAGGGAAAAGGATTCATGGGAAGCCCTATAAACATAGTCAGGGAGAACCATAGGTAATGCTTTTAGGCCTAAGAGTAAATGCAAGGCCTAAATGCAATAAGCTGATGTACTGAAGGTTGTCTCTGCAGTGCCCATTGCCATCACTGTGAATAACTTCTAGAACTCTGGTTTTCCTACTTCTAAATAGGTCAAGACCCAAACAGAGGGTCAATGTTCCATTGTGACACAGTAGTCTAGCAGTAAGGGTGGGGAGGGGTATTAGCTGTTATCCAGGGATGGAATTCACACACTTCACATCCCAGCACTTAACTGTGGTATGATGTCGCATATTGGTGTCATTTTTCCCTTTCTTTTTAAAACCAAATACAACAGAAAGGGGAAAAGAGATAACACTTCATTGGAACAAAGAGAGGGATGTCTTGGGCTAGAATCAGTACCAGCTTCACACAATTCCATTAAGTAGAATTTCAGACTATTTAAAATGCCTCCTCTGCTCCTGCCCCCAATCTCTCCCCCCTGCCACTGATGCCTAAAAATCTTTCCCCAGGGTGCAAAGCCTTTATTCTGCGACTAGAGATAAGATTTTAAAGACACATGCCCCTGAGAGAGGTAACAGATTGATTCAAATTCCCACTAAAGCAAAAATGACTTATATCTGATCCTTTCTTGAGACCAGGTTTTAATAATAAGGAAAAAAAATGGGAAGGCATAGTGAACTTGACATTTAGCATTGAGAAGAATGTTTTTAAAAGACTCTGGGAGTAACAAAGACAAACTTTATACATAAAGTTTATCAGGCCAAGATTTTTTTTAAAGTTTTGGTACTTATAATCTCTTAATTCTTTTTAGTAGAACATAAAAGAAAAAAAATAAATCCCAATTTGCTCAGCAGAGTGCAATTCCCTTGTAAAGTATGTACTTCTTTTGGATTTACTATTTTTTTTCTTTAAAAAAATGTATTTGACTCAAGGGATCTCTGGGATTAGAAGGAAAACAGATACAGGAGATATTTAGGTACTATAAAAACAAAAGATATCAATCAAAATTTATTTTTTAAAAAATGTACTTGATTGTGTTGTAGACTCTACTCTGGTGAGACTTTCATCCAATCCAACGAGAGTCCTTTTTAATACAGGTCTACAAGCACTTCCACTCAAGGTAAATAAGGCAAACTGATTAAATTCACCTTACTATTGTCCCCTAGGAAGAGAGAGAGAGAGAATAAGCAAAGGAAAAAAATGTTGATGGACTAGTCCATTTACTAATCATTTTTCAGGGTTTTTAGAAGGAATCATTTTCTCAGGCATATAACATATTTGGAAGCAGCTGTGTGCTCTCATCTAACACAGGAAGGCCATGTGCTTTGTTCAAAGGGTACCTATTCCAGCCAAGGTCACCACCATCACTGTTATGATCACTGTTATGATCACTAAAGATTATTGTAGCCCTCTCCATCTTCTTGCAGATGAGGAAAATGGGCCCCAAAGAGGATAACTGAGTTGCCCACAGTCACAAAGGTGGTTGTATCTGCACAAGGAAGGCTGATAGAAAAAGGGACTGGGTAGGAGTTAGAACGCAGGAATCATCAAATAGCGGGCTAGTTACATTCAGAATCCACTGAATCCACGGAATCCTTTCCTCCTTTTTGGATGGCCTCAGGAGAAGCTTGATGACTGAGCCCATGGGAATTTTGTTAGAACTGAAGGCTCCTTTTCACTTTCCGGTTCGAGAGACGACCTGAATGGCTTTGATCCACTCCGTGCGCTCCTGAGGGGAAGCGGCTTGTAAGAAATAATGAACTTCAGTAGCCGTGATGATCTCAAAAAGGTTTTCATCACCACTCTTCTTAACTAAAGGGGACAAAGAAGAATATCATAATTATTGGAGGGCCCTTAATTTATAGAGGTCATCTAATCCAGTCCCTCATGTTTGAGTAAAAGTATAGCTATACAGTCCAGATAGATTTTAGAATGTGCTTTTGTTCTATTTTCAATGTTATCCTGATTTCTCTTTTAAAAATAAAGTATAAATTTTTTAGAAGTATGACTTTCAAATTCTCTAATATTGGTTGTCCTAATGTAAAAAATTCTAAGGAAATTTAAAAATATCTATTTGGATAAAGTCACTTCTTATATGCACATAAATCTTTAGCCATTAGTAGTTTTCCAAACTAATCAGAAATCTCTCCTTTTGTCAGCTAACAATGATCACATGTCCTTTGTATGAATGAAGTTCCTTTTCCTAAGAATAGCCATAGATTTGCACTTATCTGTCTGTTGCTCTCACTTTAATTACTTTATACCTAGAACACTATTGTGACAAAGTACAGGGAGATCAATTTGTTTATACTGGGATAAACCCTGTAATTTTAGTCTCCAACAGAACCACTCTCTAGCCAGCTATAGACCTGATCCTGCAAATTTCAGGACCAGAAGAGAGTCTTATTTAAAAACAAGGTAGGTGCTGAAAGAGAAATGGGAGGTAGATACACCCAAGGTCTCCAATTTATAAAAAATAATCTAGTCAAGATATTTTAAGACTCTAAGTACCAGATGGCAAAGTGGGAAGAATGGCTTGTTGTTGAACTTCATTGGTTCCATGGAACCACTGGGGACTCAGTAAATTAAATGTAAATGTCTACAATTATATTATTCATAGAATAATAGAATTTTGGAGCTAGAAGTCATCTCAGAGATCATCTAATCTAATAACCTTCATTTTTCAGATGAGGCCCAGAAGAAAAGTTTGTTCAAGTTAGTGAAAGAGACAGAATCAGAAGTCAGATATCCTGCACCAAATCCAATATCATACCGCTGCCCCAATAGAGGAATTCTTAGCCAATAGATACAAAGGACTTCCTTAAGAAACCTTAAAGTGTGTTAAAGGACTATGTAATAACAAAGTCTAAAATGGAGCGAGAATGAGAAGGGCCTAAACTGGGTGAAGTTGATGGCAAAGTTGGCTGCCCTTTATAGACTCCAGGTTTTGTTCAGTACAGTTCATGGACAGTCCTCAGAGAGCCATGAAGCTTTGTGATGCTCCTGGGGTTGGACAGAGTAGACTACACATGGGAAGCTTTGGTCTCTTGGAGACTTTTTATAAGCCAATCATACAGGCATAAATATATTTTTGCTGATAATCATCTATTGGGATAGACATAATCATAGGATCGGAGTGGAAAGAAAACTCACAGATTATCTAACCTAACCCCATCACTTTATAAGGGAGAAAACTAAGGCTTAGAGAGGTGAATGGCTGGCCCAAGGTCACATAGCTAGTAAGTGTCAAGTGTCTGAGGTCAGATTTGAACTCAGATCCTCCTGACGCCAAGGCTGGAGCTCCATCCACTTCGCCACCCAGCTGCCCCCCCCATCATTTTATAAAGGAGAAAACTAAGGCATAGAGAGGTGGATGACTTGCCCAAGGTCACACAGCCATAGGAAAGGACAGGCATTTATTAAGTACCAGCTATGTACCAGGCACTTTGCTAAGCACTTTACAATTTTATCTCTTTTGATCTTCACAACAATCCTGAGAGATAAATACTATTATAATCTCCATTTTACATCAGAAAATTGAAGAAACTGAGGCAGACAGAGGTTAAGTGACTTGTCTGGGGTCACACAGCTAGTGTCTAATGTTGGATTTGAGCTCAGGTCTTACTGACTCCAGGTCTAGCACTTTATGCACTGCCTAACTATTAGTGAGAGGAACCCAGTTCTTCTACTTCCAAATCCAGTATTTCTTCCCTCTGCGCTTCTAGAGGGGGACGTTTGTACTTGCCATCAGGGGTGCTCTCCACTGCAGTGACCACACAGCCTCTCAAGTGAATTGCCCCCAGTGGATCCTCTCCCTGGAAAAGAAGAACATTATGCCTACAAAGTACATAGTATATACTGCAGCCTGACTGGTAAAGAGTTACACAACAGCTCAGGTGGAGATTCAATTCAATTCAACAACTCTGTATTAAGCTCTTGGAATAAAGAAGAGAAACTTGGCAGCTAAGGATCAGATTCCCAAACCTGCACCTCAGAGAGGCAGTGGTGGATATACACAGAAAGATGTATGCAAGTCTTATGCATAACAGGGTACTTCCCCAATTAAAAGTTCAGATTAGTGGGGAAACAGGAAGGAGAAATGGGGTAAGTTAAGGTTTGGTTATATCTCCTTCAGAGTCTTTATACCCCCCTTGGCCTATCTATTGCCTAAAAGGTCATAGGATGTAATCAAAGAATACTATCCTTCAGTTAAAAACAGAGCTAGAGAATCCAGTCTGCTCAGGGGAGGCTTAAGGCTTCAGACCAAAGACCTCCTGACAATAAAAGACAAAACTGCTCAAGTTAAATAAGCAACATGTTCTCATATAATTAAGCTTGGCTAGAGAACATTACTTCTTAACTAATTTAGCCAAAAGCTACAAATTAAATTAAATTTCTCCTCCCACCCCCACCGAAAACACTACCAAAGCTACTTAAATTCAAATGAAAGAAATGGTTTGGAAGGTCTAATTGAAATATATGACATGGAGAAATTAACTTTGATTCCAGAGAAAGTGAAAGTTTAAGTTGAGAACTGGATGCCTCAAGGCCATAGGTTTATTGGATGACCTTTGCAACTCCATAACAGGATAGATTTCTCCAGTGGAAGCTGAGAAGAGGTAGGAGATGGAGGAAAACAGGAAGTAGGGAAGGAGTATGAGGAAATGCTGAGGTAAGAAGATCATAAGATCATAGGAACACACATCTAGAGTTGGAAGAGCCCTTTGAGATATAGAAAAATAATTGGGAGCGGGGAGAGGAATCAGAAGAGTAGAAAAGTTTGGCTGCTCAGTATGATAATGAGAATGATAGTTGAACACCTTTCAATAACCATGGTACTTACCCCCGCAGGATCATAGTAGTGCAAATAGGCAGGGTCCTCCCTCAGAATAAATTTCCTCACTTTCCAATTCTTCCTCCGATGCCCCTGCATCCAGAATCAGCATACAAAAAAGAAATAATAAGATTATCAGCCCAATACCATCATGTCCTAACCCAGGATTGAGGCACAAAATTAGCAATGGCATCATTCAATCAACAAATAAATGCTTATGATTTATCTACTACGTGCAAGACACTATGCTCAGTGCTCAAAATACAAAGATAAAAATGAAATAATCCCTGTCATCAAGGAACTTATATTTTTGGGGCAGAAGAAGGGTGGGAAGTGGTTTTTGGACTAGCTGTGTATACATACATACATACATACATACATATAATGTGTGTGTGTGTGTGTGTGTGTGGGTGTGTACATTTCCTTATCTCCCCTCCTTGAACATAAGCTTCTTGAGGGCAGGAACTGTTTTCAATTTTTCTTTGCATCCCCAGTGCTTAGCACAGTGCCTGATATATAGTAAGTGCTTAATAAGTGCTTGATGGTTGATTGGTTGACTGAATTGGCATGGCAATTTCTTGTAGTCATCATTTCTTCCTTTCCTTCTAGGCATACATTGTGGGCTCTCATGCAATTGCTGGGTAATCCTCCTGTTTATGGTGAGTCAACCTTCAGAGGAAGATGACAAGGAGGATTTGGAAGCAGTGAGTACTGTCCAAGTTCCTTTAAGCACGTTGGTTGCATCAGAATGTGACATGATTGAGTCATCATTTCTAGAATGACATCTCTCTGAGTGAGCAGGGTACAGATTCTATGGTAATTAGTAACATGCACGCCTGCAACTTTTAGACCATTTCTTAGAATTCATACTCAACTGTAAAGATCACCATCTACCCAACATCAATTGAATTCAGTTCAACAAGAGTTATTGAGCACCAGCCATGTGTCTCACATTGTGCTAGGCTTTGTGGGGGATATATACATATACATATATATATATATACACACATACATACACACACCGTATGCCTACATATATATGTGTATGTATGCACAATGTATGTATATGTATATATGTACATGTATGTATAATATATGCACACATGTATGTATGTATATATTAGACATAGTCCTTAACTGAAGGTGCTTAAAACCTATTTGGGAGACAAGGTACGCACGCATACACACACACACATATATGCACACACACATATATGCGTGTGTGTGAATACATACATATTATATATAAAGAATAATACAATGAAATAAATTACATAAATAAACAAAAGAGATGAAAAAAATCAAATATGCCAATGTGTGGTCCTATTCAGCCAGCAATGGGTTAAGGCACTTTATGAGAAACCAGATGTACTAAGACATGAGACTTCCTTCAGTCACCTATTGATTATGTTTTTTAAAAATGTAGTATCCAAGGCAATGGGGTATAGAAATTTATCCTGTCCTACAGGAAAATAGAAGGGGAAGGGGATAAGAGAAGGGGGGGAGATAGAAGGAAGGGCAGATTAGGGGAAGGGGTATTCAGAATGCACGCTGTCTTGGGGTGAGAGGAGGGATGAGATGGGGAGAAAATATGTAACTCAAAATCTTATGGAAGTGAATGTTAAAAATTAAAAATAAATAAGTTAATAAGAAAAAATTTTTTAAAAATTTAAATGTAGTATCCAGATTGCCTTTTAAACTATGATCAGTATTTGATTAGGAAGGAAAGAGAAACTAACTCTCTCCTGAGGAAGTGTGTTGTAATGGATGAACAATGGAATTGCAGTCAGAAGATCTTGATTCAAAGTCTGGCTTTTTAGCTTGCTAGCTATGTGATTTTACTTGGATTTTCTGAGCCTCAGTTTCTTCACTTTTAAAATAGTAACAATAACACTTGCATTACATACCCCTACATAGTTGTAATGATCAAATACAGTTGTGTAAGAAAAGTACTTTATGAAGGGCTCTGAAGTCTCAGCTATCATTAGGTGACCACAAAGAATCCAGATTCATTTTCCCTTTCTTTCTTTTCTCCCAATTACCTATGAACATTTCCCCTATTTTCTTATTTCTGATGGAGACTTATTATAAGGGAAATAGTTGGAATGGTGAAGATGGGGGATGCTAAAGGGATACAGATGCAGAGGTCATCTAATCAAAGTTTTAATCAGCTAAACCCAAATTCATCATATCACTAAGGTCTCTTCCAGCTCTAATATGATATGAGTCTTTGAATGCAAGGATTCTTTTCCAATTCAGAAACCTCACCTATTAGAATGTAAGTTTGTTGAGCACAGGGAATTTCTCACTTTTGCCCTTGTATCACCAGCATTTAGCATGTGCTGGCACATAATAGGTCGTTAATGGATACTTATTAATTAACTGGCTGACTCTTCACACTCCATATGATCCAAAAAACATAAATGTTACTTTAATTCTTTTAGTACTCACAATACCATTCATTGCTAGCCTACAGATGTGAGTACAGATTGTTCATTTAAATAACATTTCACTCCTCTTACTTGGTTTCAAATCCTCCCCATCTATATGTCCCTCTTCCTTGGTTATTTGTCTATTGTAAAGAAGAATATAAATTTAGCGTTAAATAGCTCTACTTAAGAATTAATTTAACATTTAACAGTCAATCTATGTAAGGTGTTATCTCATTGGCAGTCCTCCTCATAAGGAGGCAATATTTTCTTTTTGCCTTCTCTTTTTCTTTTTTTTCTTTTTTGCTTAGGCAGTTGGGGTTAAGTGACTTGCCCAGGGTCACATAGCTAGTAAGTGTCAAGTGTTTGGTCTGAGGCCTGATTTGAACTCAGGTCCTCCTAACTCCAGGGCCAGTGCTCTATCCACTGCGCCACCTAGCTGCCCCTTTCCTTCTCTTTTTCTTATTGTTTTGAAGGTAATGACTTCTTCTACCCTATTTCAAGTGGTCTCTCTCTTTCTCTACTCTACTCTTCCTAATATCATCCTCCTTGGATTTTTTGAGCAAATTATTGGCCATTTGCCTTACCTTCCACTCTGTGGAAGAACTTCCGGTGGAACTTTTAGTTGTGACTCCTGCCACTGATAGCCATAACAGGCTTTCAGGTAAGATAGAGAAAGCAAAAAGTAGGGAAAAAAGAGAATCCAATGAAGGAGAAGGATCCAAACAGAATGGTACTGGCCACTCACCTGCTTCAGTAGGCACCCTTGCTTGATGATGATTCCTCTGAATTCTTCCTTCAAAATCACATCATCATCACTGGAATTCTCTTCACAGAAGAATCCACTGTCTGCCTAATTGGAAACCAACACAGATTTCTTTCACCAAATCACAGGCTTGCCATTACTTTTTACTTCCCTGATCACCAGCATTTTAATGTGCCCTCTGCCTTTCTGTGTTACCTGTACCCCAATCATAACCTTTAAGGCTCTCCCCTAGAATGCTACTTCCTACATCTCTCCTTTTTATTCCCTGTCTCTCTCTTCTCAAGCATGGTTCTTATGAATATTCTTCCCCTTCCTGAAGTTGGTTTGTTCATTTGTTTGTTTGTTTCTCTACTCCTGAGTCGATCTTTCTCTGGGAAATTTTCTTCCTTCAAAGACTACTTTCTCTCAAGCTATTCTTTTTTTCTCACTCTTACACAAAGTAACATGTGGGACATTTTCCCACCTCTACCACTTGCTGCTTTCTATACCTCCTTGAAGACTAGAGAAGTGGTCTGAGGAAATGAGACTGGCAGTGGAACTTCACCCAAAGTGAACTGAAACCTTTGTATCTGGGAAATTTGTTTCATTCTTATAAGGATGGTGTTTGTCCCACATAGCTTCCGAATGTCTGGGCCCTGATCCAGAGAAGAAACAGAACTGACAAAATCCCCAAAGAAAGCTCTTCTTGCTATGTGCATAACATGACCCCAGAGTGGGTATGTATTTTGAAAGAGAAATCTGCAGCGGTACTATGGGGATTTCCGTGAGTTGGGTTCTTTCTGAAGAACTGTGACCTTTTTCCCTCATGGGTGGATATGGTTTGACAACTGTTTGGGACAGGAGATCTTAGTCTGGGATGTGTGAACTTTAAAAAAAAAGTATGATAACTTTATTTTAATATAATTTGGTTTTTTTGTAATCTAATGTATTTTCTCTATTTAAAAACACATTCTTCTAAAGAACGGGTCCTTTGTTTATATCAGACTAGCAAAGGGTTTCATGACCCCCAAAAATTCAAGAACTCCTTCTCTGGGATCTGGTTAGACTATCTTCATTATAAGAATGAGCCGGTAACTCTTCCCACTTACAAAGTAGTAGAAAGCATCAGGGTTATCAAGGAAGGAGGTTTCAGCAGTTCCATCAACTGCATTCTTGGACAAGTCCCCAGCAGGTTGTAGGAAACCTTCATTGAGTAGTGAAGACGCTATCATGAGACCTTCCTGACGATTCCGGACAGATTGTTTAGATAATAGCCAGTCAATCACACAGTTACCTAGATAGGAAAAATCAAAGGTCAGGTTACTAGCTCAAAACTAGAATCAAAGGGCTGGAAAGAACCTTGGAAGATGACACCATCCGTTCCAATTCCTAACCAAGACTATATTTAAATCATCCCAAGAGGTGAACCCTCTATCATTCAAAAAAAAATTATCCAAAGAAAATGTCTGGGGGCAGCTAGGTGGCACAGTGGATAGAACACCAGCCCTGAAGTCAGGAGGACCTGAGTTCAAATCCAGACTCAGCCCTAACACTTGACACTTACTAGCTGTGTGACTCTGAGCAAGTCACTTAACCCCAATTGCCTAAAAAAGAAAAGAAAGAAAAATGTCCCTTCCTTGACAACATATTAAGCATCTCAAAATGAGAAATCTGGCCATTTTATCTGGATTGGAAAGAGAAAGAAAATTAAACTTTTGGATGATCGACAAAACCATCCTTATATTTAAATTATTGTTAAAAGTTTTTAGAATAGTCTATGACAATAGTTGGGTCTTCCAAATTAGGCAGACCAGGGAAGTAGTTGGTGTGACTGTGGTTGATTTGGCCAGCACAGTTGTGTAACATGATCATATATGCCTTAATCATAATCAGTTCATTCATTCATTCATTCAATCAATAAGATTTATTAACAATGTGCCAGGAACTGCCCTAGGTGCTAGGGATACAAAAATAGTCCTTCCTCTCATATAGCTTATATTCTATTAGGGTAGGGCAACACAGAAAGAAGTATGTGAGTTGTCGGGGAAGGTACTAGCAAAGTGAAGGGAACAGAATAGACTTCAAGTAGGAGGTGGTACTTGAGCTAACTTGAAGAAATTTAGGGGTTTTAAGACATAGACATAAGGAAGGAGTACATTTCAGGTATAAATGACAGCCTGTTCCAAGGGACAGAGACAGATGATGGAATGACATGCTTGGAGGACTTGATTTGCCAGAGGGAAATTGACAAAAAAGGAATATTTGGGTGTAACCCAAGAACCAGGACTCTTCATGATTTGGTCTCATACAGATGGAGTCTGATTTCAGAGTCTGACCTATTAAGGTCATATTCTCTTTAGAGCTCATTATACACTCTTCTAGAGTTTATTCCGAGAATTCTCTAAATTTAGAAAGTGCCTAGGTTTCCATATATGTGGGTAGTAGGGTCCCCAGATCCAAAATATACAGGCACTCAAGGTAAAATATGCATATGCATTTTGATTTCAGAACATCCTTTATCTCTCCATCCTAGGAAAGGCAGAAAATGCAAAAGACTCACAACAGTCTATAAACAGATTTAGGAAACATAGAAAGAACTGAAATCTGGGTTTACTGCAGGGCAACATTCCAACATTCTGGTGAATCCATAACTCTCTCATAATGTCTTATATATTCTCACCCACATTTGTTGTGCCCCTGTGGTTCAGACACCTCCCAGAAGGCAAGTATACTTTGGAGCTGCTTGATTTTCTTTCCAATAAGACTTGTACTATGTGAATAATTATACACACACACACACACACACACACACACACACACACACACACACACATTATAATACTGGAGGGGTGACAAGGTCCAGATCCCAAAAATCTCAACCTCTAGGAATAGGATGTACTGAAAGCTTTTGCCTTCTTCCCTCCTTTATTCCAAACCTTGCTATATAACCTGACATCTAAGGTTTTGCAACCTGCTTTCTAACCTTTGCTCCCACTACTTCACATGATGAACTCTTTTCTCCATCCAGGCTGGTTAACTCATCTTCTTTTTTCCCATAGCATGGCCATTTTTACTTCCACACCTTTGTTTGTGCCATCTCTTTCTAATGTGACTACTCTAAGATTCCCCACAGCTTCTTGTCCATGAAAACCATGCCCAATCTTCCAGGAACAGCCTACCTTCTGCCCACTCCAGCCTACAGCAATCTCTTTCTACTCTAAATTCATGACATCTGTTGTTTATCATACTTATCTGGCATTTAACACTGTGTCATGGCATCTCTTTTTTTTATGTTAATAATTTTTGTATTGTTATGAGTATATTTTTATTGACTCAGCTAGACTATAAGCTCCCTGACAAAAGGACTCATGTCTTCTTTTTGTATCTTCCACTTCCTTAACACAATTCCTTGCACATAATGCTCAAAATTATAATTTCTTACTTCAAGAATCCGTGATAACATCAGTGTAAATATTCCCATCACAAACACAAAATTCAACTTTTCAAAGCCTTGGGAGACTAACTCTGAAGGCACATCAAGATGGAGGAGGTCTTACAAAAGTCTCATCTACTTCCCTCATTTTTCAGATAAGGAAACTGAGGCCCAGAGTACTTTTGACTTACTTAACTCAATATACTACTGTGCTGTGGATTAATTTTTATGTTACCTTAGGTGTTGCTTTGTGTGACTTGTGACTTCAGTGTAATAGGTCATAGTTCCTTAAATAGTAATGGGATTCAATGGCATTCACTTGTTCTATGTTCACAGTATTTTGTAACAAGAGCTGGGGCCCCTTAGATAGAGTGAGCATTATTGTAATGAAAGGACATATTAAGTTTCTTGTTAGGGCCTCCTCAAATTCATAATGTCCAAGAATTTTCAGGAAACCTAATGCAATCTACATTCCCCATATTCAACTCAATAAGCGTGGAATGAAAGAAAGATTGAGTACTCACTCCATTGCTACAATACTCTTTAATCTCTTCAGCCTGAGTACTCCTTCATTTGATGCAGATCACAACTGTCCTAATTTAACAGGTAGTCCTCAAGAGTTGTGGCCAAAAATCTCATTGTCCCCAAGACTAACATGGGGGTGATCCTCACTAGGTTAGACTTTGTCCATTAGACTGTGAGCTTCTTGAGAGCGGAGACTATCTTCTGCCTTTCTTCCCATCCATCCCTAGGGCTTAGCAAAGTTCCTGGCACATATTATAAATGTCTTTTGATTGACTGACTACAGCTTGGGCCACAGTCCATTACTGAGCCAATGTCTGAAGACTTTCTAGCATAATAGAACCAGCCAGAGTTTGCACTTCATTGTCATCCATTGCCTTTGGGAACTCAAGGTATACCCATATCATAATCACGCTTAGTCAAGGTTGAATGACGTACAATGGAATTCCCAAAACTTCTATGATCTAATCCACAAGCTCTCATAGAACTGAAAAATGTCACAGCAAGAAAGTACCTTTGAAATAATTTAATCCAACTCCAGTATTTTAATTTGAAGAAACTGGTGGCCATGGAGATTAATGTCACTTGCCTAAAGTCATATAATCATCTAGTAGCAAAGTTGGGACTAGAATACGTCTCCCACTTCCTAGCCAAGACTTCTTTTCATTATACCATAAATTCTATTGAGCAACAAAGACCTTTGATTTTCTTCTTTACTTTTTTTCACTCTGATAATCTAGAACTTCATTTTCAATTGGTTCACTGAGTATGTTCCAAACTATCCTTTTTGCCCAGCACCCTTCTCTTTATCCTCTCTGTCCTTACTCGAGTTGGAGTTAAAATTCAAAGCATTTCATTCATTTCAATGGTGGCCACATCTCCTAGTAGCAAGTACATGGGAAATACAGACTTTTACCTGTAAAACAGTGGTTGAACACCTTCTTATCCTTCTCCAGCTTTAGTTCTTTTACTCCTTTGTCAGCGTCCTTCATGGATAAATATAGGGCACTGAGCAGAAAAAAGCAATCAATGAGTGAGGAAGGAGAATCTATCTGGTGTTTGCCCACATACCTTCTACCCTGGAGAAAGTGATCATGATGGTAACTGACATTTCTATAGCCCTTTAAATTGTGAAGAGCACCTTACATACATTATCTCACTTGAGCTGCACAACAATGCTGTGAGGTAGCTCCCATAAATATTGTTATCTTCATTTTGTAGAAGAGGAAACTGAAGTTCAGTAAGGTTGAGTGATGTGGTCACATCATTAACAAATATTAGACAGGACTTTAAACCTAGGATTTCTTGACTCCAAATCTCTACCCACTGTGCTACCTAACAGTTGAACCTTCTATTACCTTGGTCACTGTAAATATTTACAGTATCTTAAGATACATGTACATGTATCTTATGTCTCTGGCTAGATTAAAGCATCATGAGGGCAGACATATCTAGCATAATTTTATATTCTGCATTGCAGTTAGCACAGTGACTTATATGCTGTTTGTTGTTCAGTTATTTCAGGCATGTCCCATTTGGGGTTTTCTTGGCAAACCTCATTTGGGGTTTTCTTGGCAAACATACTGGAGTGGTTTGCCATTTCCTTCTCCAGCTCATTTTACAAATGAGGAAACTGAGGCAGAGTTAAGTGACTTGCCCAGGGTTATACAGCTAATAAGTGTCTGAGGCCAGATTTGAACACTGTTGGGATATATGTTGAGTGAATGAATTGAACAAATGAATAAAACTATTTGGAAAATTAACTACTGATATTCAAAAGAGAAAGGTATAGCTCGTTGGCATCTAGCATCCTAGGCCTCCTATGTGAAAGGAGCATTTGCTACAGCTCCTTTACAGACAAATGTCTAAACCACACAGGAAGTTTTTTTTTTATATTTTCCCTAAATGGAAACCGATTAATAGAGGGGAAAGAAGAAAGATAAAGACATTGAGGAGCAAAGAGGAGTTCTTATTATTATTTTACAGAGTAAGTGGGGAGCCCTATCACTGGAATCCTGAGCAACAGAACAGGAAGTGGTCTTCCTGTTTCCTGCATCTTGTTTCTTCTTGACATTGTCCAGCCATCCTTTTTGCACACATATTTGACAACTGTGGTCAGCAATGTGGCTCCCTCTGACATGTTCAGAAACAAAAGGGCCGCAAAGGCTCACCACTCCCCCTGGTTTCTTGCCATTTGATCTAATTGGGGGAAACAGTCTGGTTTTTCTTTCTAGAACAAAGTTTGATAGTCAAGTTATCAGAAGCCACCCATGGTGTGTCCCTTCAACAGCCCCTGGGAGCTTGGTAGTTATTTTGAGCACCATGTGTGGGGGTGAGACGGCATTGCTGAAAACTCATCTCCAAGTATACTTGGAGAAATGTGAGCTACCATGGAGCAAGGCGCCTTTATTACGGTGAAATCCACATAAATGAAGAACACGTGGCCAGGGCTTTGAAGACCTCTGGATAATTCGCGGTCCGAGGCAAGACTCACCTCCAGTCACTGACCTGCCTCAGGCTGCAGTGAAGCTCTCAGCATACCGGACAGAGAGTAAGCAGCCCAGGCCCTCAGATTCAGAGCCAGACTTCGGTGTTGCCAGTTTGCTAGTGATCATAGATTTAGAGCTGGAAGGGACCTTAGAAGCCACCAGGTCTAATCCTACCCATTGCTTCATTATGCGGAAGAGAAAACCAAGGCCCAGAAATTGTGACTTGTCTAAGGTCACACAGGCAGCAATCAACAGAGGGAGGATTTGAAATCAGGTCTTCTGAGTCCAGAACCAGGGCTCATGACCCTGTACCCCAGTGCCTCTCAAGGGCAGCTCTTACTGATCCTCTGTAGCCCCTTCACACACCAATACCTCCCTGCTCTTTCCTCCCTGCCTTAGCTGATTCCAGAGACTGAACCTCTGAGAAACCTGATTCTACCTGTTGCTCCGGTTCTGTTCCCTCCAAGGTAGCAAGGTCAATGCTCCCTATACCCTTTTTATGACATTGAGCTTTACTGCTTAGCAATAACTAATCAAAGGTAAATTCTTTGAGAGGAGGAAAGGCAGCATTTTCTCCCTTCTTAGACTCTGGATCTAGATAATTTGTAACCTCAAATTTACACTTTCTTGCTAAAAATTTCTCTTGTATGATACATTATTGAATAGACTTCAGGAGTTTGCAAATCAGAAAGAAGAAATTAAATCTTTCCCAAACTTTCCTCCTTTTATCAGTTAAACATTTCTCTGCCCCACAACAAACATCTGGATAAAAGTTGATCTAAAGACCTCTGGCTCATCTTGGGCATCCTCCTGACTTCCTAATGATACATTTTGGTAAAAACTAAGTATATGCAAGTTATTGCCAGCCAATGGATCTTCCTAGTTAGACTAAGCCTGACAGGTATGACATGGCAGGAGCTAGAAGCTACAAAGAGAAATGCTTCAGGGTGGGGAGAGGCAGGGAAGGGGACATTTACTTCTATCCTTTCAGGCAAGATTCGGTCATCATAAATGTCCATTTAGACGTGTCTAGTGTCTTATAGCATACAAAACTCTTTCACGTATATTATCCTGGCCATAGGTTCATAACTCTAGAGCTGGAAGGGCCCTGGAAGGCCCCTTTAAATTACAAATGAGGAAACTGAGGCCCTGGGGAAGCTAAGCAGCTTGATCAAGGTTACACAGGCAGTAATCCCACAGAGGTGAGATTTGAACTCATGTCCCCTGACAATGCTCTTTCTACTATATCTTGCTATTATAAACCATACAACAGCCTTGTGAGACAGGCAGAGCAGGTATTATTATATCCACTTCACAAATGAGGAAACTGAGGCTCAGTGAGATTAAGGTATTTGTTCAAGGAACATAGAACCATAGATATAGATATAGAAAGGGTCTCAGAGACCACCTTCTCCAGAACATTCATTTTATAGATAATGATAATAGCTAGGTTTTATGCAGCTTAAAGTTCTCAAAGGGTTTTACATATGTTATCTCATTTGCTCCTCATAATAGCCCTGTGAATTAAGTTCTATTGTCATCCCCATTTTACAGATGAAGAAACTGAGGAAACTGAGGTCCAAGAAGGTTAAGTGATTAGTCCAAGATTGCACAGGTGATAAGCCTCAAAGGAGGGATTTGAACCCATGTCTTCTGACTCCCAAGCCATTGTTCTTTCCACTGTACATGGTGAAATAAACCTCATAACAACCCTGTAGGATATGTAGGGCAGGTAGTATTAAATCCATTTTGCAAATAAGGAAATTGAGAGTCAATGAGATTAATGGATTTGTCTAAGGTTACAGAGTTAGAGGTAGCCAGGACTGGTGCCTAAGCCTTCTTCCTCTTGGTCCAATGCTCTTCCCAAGAAAACTGGCTTCAATTAACTACACGTATTTGTACTTGTGGATATGTGGCTCTATATTTCATTGTATTCTGCAGTTGTGTGTTGAGGGGGTAAGGGGAAGGTATTCCATATGCTTAATTATTATGTGACCTTCCTACAGTCAGAAGAGTCTAGGCTTCGAAGCTAGCACTGTGAGTGGTCCATATTAGAAGCAATGACCTGAAAGAGTTAAATGCCTAATGTACGCTGGGGATAATAAAGCTCGCTGAAGTAGATAGCCCTGGTTTAGGTGCTACAGACTCTTTGAGATTCTGCATTCATTCTCTCTGGCCACTGGTTGGCCATTTAGTGCACTGGGCTAGACACAACCTCATGGCCTGCAAGAGTGAAGACTAGAGCTCTTGCCTTAGAGAAGTATTTACACAGGTAGAGTTTGGTTGAGCCTAAAACCTGGAAGAAAAAAAAAAACAAAGGAAACAAATCACCTTAAGTCAATGGTTTCTGGCAGTCGGATGGACCTCCTGGTGGATTTCCTAGCAAATTTCTGGCCTCCTTCAATGCACTTAATAGCCTTTTTAATGTCTCGCACCCAGGCATCTCTCTCCTCCAGGTAGGCAGCCTGGAAAAAGTGGTCTTGCTGCTTGGTTGTGGCAAGTTTAAACACGAACTAAAATCAAAACATAGTGTGTTAGTAAGGAACAGCTGCTGCAAAGCAGAGGCCTGAGCCTACTCATAATCTGGAAGTGTTTATTTAAAAATCAGCTAATCCAGTCCTTCCAAGCCAATGAGTTGTTAAGTCTTGTTAATTCTATTTCAACAGTATCTCTTGCATCTATCACCTTCTCTCTACTTACACAGTTGTTGTTGTTGTTCAGTGGTTTCGGTTGTGTCTGACTCTTTGTGACCCAATTTGGGATTTTCTTGGCAAAGATACCGGAGTGATTTGTCATTTCCTTCTCCAGCTTATTTGACCAATGAGGATACTGGGTCAAGCAGGGTTAAGTGACTTGCCCAGGGTGACACAGGTAGTAAGTGTCTGAGACTGGATTTGGATTCAGGTCTTTCTGAGTTCAGGGCTCTGCCACAGTTGCCCACCTAGCTCCCCCACTTAGATAGTCACCACCCTAATTCAGGGCCTAATCCCTTTGTACCTGCACTATTGACATAGCCTCCTAACTGGCCTCCCTGCCTTAAGTCTCTCCCCACTCCAATCAATTGTACATGTAACTTCCAGCGTGATATTGCTAAAGTACTGGTTTAAGCATGCAACTACTCTGCTAAAAACAAACAAATGCTCCAGTAACTCCCCAGTTACCTCTAGGAGCAGATATAACTCCTATTTGACATATAAAGCCCTTCACTATCTGTTCCTACCCTACCTTTCTAGCCTTATTAAAAATTATTTCCCTTGGAACACTGCACCATCCAGCAAAATTGGCATTCTTACTATTGCTCATACACAGCACTTCATCTCCCAAGTCTTCACCTTTGCATTGCCTGTCTCTCCTGCCTGGATGCACCCCTCCTCACCTCCTCCTTTTAGTATCCCTAGCTTCCTTCAAAGCTCATCTCAAATGCTGCCTCTTACACAGAGCCTTCGTTGATTCCCCTAGGTGCTATTGCATCCCTCAAGAAGTTACCATGCTTATTTTCTATGTATTGTGTGTATATATATATGTATATACACATATACAAATATTGTCTCTTCCAACATCATGGATGCTTCTTGAATGCAGGGAATATTTCATTTTTGTTTTTGTATCTTCAGCACCTAACATAGTACTTGGTATACACTAGGTACTTAATAAATGCTTGTTGATCAATTGATTGATTGCAGTCAGGTAATTTTTTTTCTGGCAAAGAAGTTAGACCCTCTGGATTCAGAAATCTAATAAAATGTAAAATTGAAGGTAGGGACTATTTTATTATTTTTCTTTTTTCCCAGTGCCTTGCACATAGTATGCACTTTTAAAAATAAATATTCTTTTTATTATGAATTTAATCAACAAATATAAACATTCAAATTACAAAGAACAAAAAATAAGGATTATATAGAAAATTACAACCTTTTACATGGTTTTTTCCATATATATTAAATTTAATAAGTTAGAAACAAAATTGCCCAGTTCATTTCAACATAATGGATACTTAATAGACTTTTTAGAATTTGAAGTGTTTGTCTAATTCATAAAGTGTAGCAATATGGAATGGTGGAAAGACATGGGTTCAAATCCCAACTGCCACTAACTACATGTTTGACCTTGGGAAAATCATTTCATCTTTCTAAACTCCATTTTTTTTCATCTGTAAAATAAAGAGATTGGACAGGATGACCTTTGAGGTCATTTCCAGATCTTACTCCTATGCTCTGACCCTATGAGGATTCAAGGGAATGAATCTCTCCAGGCCAAATATTATTAACTCATTGGATATCCCTGAGTAAATGGCATACTTTTACTAGCTCTTATGTTCCCAAATACCAAATGGAGAGACCAACAAGAGAATTGTTTACCCCTTTAGCCCAGAGGATATTAGTTGAATTAAGAATGACCTATGGGTGCTACTGGGAGGTCACTGTTAGGTTTTAGGATTATACAGGAAAAAGGGCAAAAGTGGAAGAAAAAGAAAAAGAGACATATAATTAGACATAGTGGGCACTTTATAAAGGCTTATTGGATTGAACTAGATACCATCTACAATTGCCTCAAATACCCTTTATGGTTTTAAATCATTATGAACTTGATAATCATAAACTCTTTAGTAGCTCTCTGAATATCATCACTAGTTTACCTACCCAGGAGCACCTTTCCTCTATGATTTAGCAAATGAAAGCTTAATTATGGCTGTTAGTGATTATCGTGATGAAAAGCTTATGGCATGACTATTTCATTTGCATAATGGAAGAGAACATTCAAACAAGGGGAGAGCGGACAGAACAAGATGATATTAGCAGAGATGACAACTCTTTGCTTTTAGCCTCCTTTCTCCCAGCAGGTTAGGGATGTGATATCTGTGCAGGCCTAGGGACAGAGTATGTCTTTGAGAGTACAAACCCTGAGGCTCCCGAGATGCTAAAGATGCACATTCCGCCATAAATAAAAAGGGTATATTTGGAAAGCTGACTATTCTATTACTTGAAGCAATTTTGGCTGTCTCAATATTGACACTTTCTGTTTTGGGTGGACACTGATTAAATCATAATTAAATGCACAGGAGTAATCAGGAAGAATTCACTTTGCATCTCAGTATTTATTGGATTGAGCTGTCAAAGGGTGAAATTTACTGCCATTATTGTCATAGTCATCATCTGCAGGTCTTTGTGACCAATCTATGTGTGCTTTCATATAGGAAACTCCTGGTCAGGGAATTCCCTCTACCAGTGCAGATCAGCATCTGTTTGGCAACTTAAAGTACCAAGAGGGTCATGAGGCTATCATTTGTCAGAGACACGTCATGAACTCAAGGTTCTTATCTTAAAGACTCACCTTCTATTCCCATGCTCCATGCTGCCTCATCCTGAATATTAGAAAATTAAAAATTAACCAGTCTACAAAGACTGGTGCCCACAGCAGGGATGAATGCTGACAGCTCTGCTTATTATGTGACATGAGTTGAATAAGGCCACATTTGCAGAGGGTCCCCAGCCCAGCCCAAAAGTATCTGTGAAGGTCTGGCTCATGAATTCTTTTACCCAAGTATGCTCTGGCTCCATAAGCCTCCATGCTGCCAGAACCCTGATAGAGTCCCACTTTTCTGATGGGATTCTGTTCAGTCAACATTTATCAAGTGTCTGCTCTGAGCAAGAAGAAACTGAGGATCAGAGATACAAGGTGACTGGCCCAGGATCACATACCTAAGGTGGCATGGCATGGTGGTTGGTGGTCAGATTTATGAGCTAGGAAGATTAAAGATCGAATTCTGTCTCTGACACACACTGGCTGTGTGACCCTGAACAATTCACTTAGCCTCTCAGTGTTCTAGGTATCTTTCCAAGATGAGAGGTGCCAACCTACATTAGCAGATAAAGTTCCCTTGCCATGTAATTCCCTATACTAAGAAAATTGTAGTTCTGCTCCTATCCCCTATCTTTTCTCCTAGCTTCTAAGATAATATTTTTCATGTTGGTAACATTTAAGAAATGTTTATTGAGTTGAATTGAAAAAAATAAGGCCATATTGGAGGACGATTAAAAATGAAAAACAACAACAACAATAACAAAAACCTTACCATTCTTTTACCAAAGTCTTGGCAGGGACTGGTAAGAGTACTTCCTTTCAATGGGATCATTCCCTTGGGACTGTTATCACTTTTCTTCTTGTAGAATTCAATAGCATCTTCCAGCAACACGACCCACATGGGTTTCCAACTATTGAACATGCTGCCCTGTGTTGACACCACAGAAAGAAAAAAAATGAATCTTTTAAAAAAATATTTATTTCTTCCAGTTTCCATGTCCCTAGCCACCAAGTCAGGATACTAATATGGAGGTTTCTAACCCAGTTAGCATTGAAGGCTGCTAGTATACTAGAGGGTATATAACTAATTACCTACATGTGTGGAGCAAACTTTAAATGCTACAGGAAGGTCAGCATAAGAAAGGATCAGTGTGGGAAGCAAGACTTCCAACATTTTGGAGGCATTTTGTAAAGTTATTTCCCATTATATTCAAATGGGAATGTTTAAATTTTCGCTAATTCTGTGGTATTCTGAAAATACCACATCTACTCTCACTTCTCATTTCAGGGAATAAAACTTCCCTGGTCACTCTGATCTCATCTTGCTGACCTTCCTAAAGCACTTAAGTTTGTATCAAACATTTGGACAATTAATCACATGCTTCTTACAGTTTTCTAATTGTTTTATGTACATTAGTCTTATTTCCCCCAATGAAGGTGCAAGCTCCTCAAGGGGAGGAATTGTGACTGCCTAACCCTCTTGCTTCTCCTTACTACATCCATTGCAGTACTGATCTATCACTGTGTAGTATAGTAGGCACTTGCTGTATGCTTTTCAAAAGGCTTAATTCCCAAATAAGATTCCTAATGCACCACTGTAATCACACTTACTTCTCTACTCAAAAATTCTCTGGATACCCATGACTTAATGGATAAAGTAAAAACTCTTGACCTTGGCATTGAAAAGCCTCTATAATCTGGTTCAACCTACTTATCCAATTTTATCTCATACCACTCCCCTTCCCATATTTTATGTTCTGGTCAAACCAATTAAGCCCCATTCCCCATTTTCATCTGGCCCTCTCCTATCACTAAATCTTTGCTCACATTGTCCCCTGTGTCTGGAGTGGGCATCTCCATCTCTTGCAGTCTTTCTCTTCCTTCAAAGCCTAACTCAGACATTATCTCCTCCATGAAGCCTTCTCTGGTTCACCCCCACCCATACCTCCAGGTAAAAGTGGCCTCTCATTCTCAAAGTCTTTATAATGCTTTGCCTGGGCTTCTCCCTTCTACTTGTCCCATTCTCTTTTTATCACACTTCTAAGATGAAATATATAAACTCCTCTGTGTGACATTTAATCTGGCCCGATGCACACCATCCTAGCCCTCATGCTGTTCCTCATTTCATCTATCTCCATTCCTTTTCTGCGGATACCTCTCTCTCCTATACCTAGAAAGCTCTCTCTTTCTATCTCCTTCCCTAGGTTTCCTCCAAGACTTAGCTCAAGGCACCACCTACTTCATGGGGCCTTTCCTTATCCCTACAGCTGCTAATGCCTTCCACTCAAAAGTAACTTTATGTCTGCTTTGTATGTGTTTTCTATCTAACTATCTGCCTGTCTGAATATCTGTCTGTCTGTCTGTCTATCTATCTATCTATCCATCTATATTGTTTTCCCCAACAGAATGTAAGCTCATTGAGGACAGGAACTGTCCTCAATGAGGACAGTTGTTTTTTATCTTTGTATTCCCATGTTTAACAAAGTGGCCAGAACATAGTAGGTATGCTTGTTGATTGACTGAGTTGCATATTTGCCCTTCCTCTTATTAGGCTGTAAGTTCCTTGAGAGTAGACCCTGTTCTGTAACCACTTTTGCATACCTGGAGCCTAGAACAGACCTTGTATACAGTAACTAATTAATAAATGATTAATAAATTTTTTGTTGAAGATATAACTCTTGGACAATTCCAAATGCTACCAATCGTCATAGAAAATAGTGCCAAACTCTTTTCTTTCTTTAGTTATTATCAGCTTTTGTTATTGCCCCATTTTCTTTACCCCAAAAACGGCCGCCTCTCACAATTCAAAAAGTGTTTCTGAGTTTCTGAGCTACAGAGTTATTTTTGAAAAGTGTCAAACATAGTATTGCAAGAACTAAGTACAGTTTCCTTCTGTGGTCAGTTCCCATTAGTTCTTAACCATTCATCTTAACAGTTAACAAAGTCTTTTTTATCTTACAATTTTTAGTGTGATAGAAACACCTGGCCTTGGAACCAAGAAGACTGGGTTCAAGTCCCTCCACTGACACCTAGTGACTGTGTATCCTTGAGCAAGTTACTTAACTTCTCATTGGTCTAAGCAACTACAACTATAAATTTCAGAGGAGAAGGAATTCCTCATGCAGAGTTCCCCAAACCAGTGAAATCACAGGTCCCATTCCTATGCCAGCTGATTAAGCAATGTAGTAGAAACAGACAAAAGGAGATAGTAGTTCTTGGAAGAAATGTTGTCTTCATTCAAAAATAATTTACTTCTCTGGAGTTCATCAGGATTTAACTTAAATTGAAGCAATGAGCAATCATTTATTAGTCATGGAGCTTAATATTGTAATGGGCACTGGGAATACAAATGAAAAAGTAATAAAATACTTATTCTCAAGGCAAGTCAATAACAAGGTCATTTGAGGAGGGAGAAAGCACTAACAATTGGGAAATTTAAAAAAGGCTTAGGGGCAAGCACTTGAACTGAGCCTTAAAAAGAAGATAAAGATACTGAGAGGTAGAGATGAGAAATACATTCCATGTATGGGAGCATCCTATGCAAAGATATGGAGATGGCTCCTGAAATGCCAAGGTTGGCAAACAGCTGGTAGGTTAGTTTGAATAGGAGAAAAAAAGAGTATATTAAAAAGACTAATGTAAATTAAGTATAGAAAGATGGGATGGTCCCAGTTTTTGAAGAACTTTAAATGCCAGGTGAAGAAATTTGTAATTTATTTTAAGGCAAAATGGAGCCACTGAAGTTTTTGACCAGGGCAGTGTAATGGTCAGAGTGGTAGCTTAGAAAGATTATTTTGGGAGCAATGCAAAAGAAGAATTGGAGAGGGGAGCCAGGAGGCAATTAAGGGGCTAAAAAAAAGCTAAAAAGACCCCTGAGCTAATGAGTATAAATAGGTTGGAGAAGGGTTTGGATAAATTCATTGATGATATGTCCAGACCAGGTTATTAGAGGAAGTTAAGTATACCTTTGTGACATTTTGAGGTTCACACAAGGAAGGAAAATTAAAATGCCCTTCCACAAATCATCCCTTGGTACCACTGTCAGAAACAGCAAACAAAAATGGGTATGCCACAGACAGCATTTACAGTGGTCCTGTTTATGTCTGCTTTCACTGCAGAGCCTTCATGTTGATACTGAGGTTACTGTACTTTGTACAACACTTCAGGAAGGATCTCCAGCAAGAATCTAGCATATAGTTCTTGCCTAATGTCTTGCCATTATTCCAAATACTCAACAGTTCTTTTTATTTCATCCTCCTTCCATCCCTGGGAGATACCTGGTAAATGGGGTATGTTTATACCATATTGAAGGAAAGAAACTTCAACCTCAGTGGTATTCAGTAACTTGCCCTCAGAAAGCCAATCACGTGGACCTGGGTAATAATGGTGAGCTGATGGCCCTTAACCCAATACACATACTTTGAAATTACATTGGATCCCTTATTGAAGGGGCTCTTCTAGCTGTGGCTGTGAGTCATGTCACAAAGATTTCTAATGACCTTCACCACACGCAATTACCGTTTCCTATGTCTTGTGTTTCTCCTCTCTTTCTGTTGCATGAACATTTAAGATATTTAATACCTAAAATAGAAAAAGAGCCACTCTATTGAGCTTGGACTCTTTGCATATTACCTATTCTATGACATCATACACGTCATGAAAACCAGAAAATTCAGATAACATTGAGGTCCTAGCACATCCTATTATTTATCTGTGAATGGCAGAGGGTACTTACATAAAGTTGCTACTTGCATAATTGGATGGCTCTTTATTATCCCAGTTGTTGAATTCCTGCCTAGCCTTAATTTTTTTTAATTTTTAGTATTTTGATTTGGACAAACATAGCAAACATATACGTTTACCTATATGAAGAACAGAAAGAGGACTGCATATGGAACTGTGAATTTCCACTATGTACATCTTCTTGTGTTTTTCATTTACTTCAAACTTAACATACATGTCTTTGACTCCTGCTCTGCCTGGATTTGCGGACAGCTCCCTTCATGCTTTTAAACACAATTCAAATGCTACTTCTTCCAGCAAGCCTTCCCATACCACCAATATGATGTTTAGGTAAAAAGGAATGGAGAGGAGACCATGATGAAGTTATTTAACTTCCCTGGCCCTCAGTTTCCCTGAATGTAAACTGGCAATAATACCTATCTCATAGGGTTGTTGTGAGGCTCAAATGAAATAATGTACATAAAATGCTTTGCAAACCATAAAAGGCTATATAAACACCAATATTATTATTAGGAGAAAATACAAGCAATGACAAACATAATGGGAAGGATAATAACATTTTAACTCAAAAATCACCTAAGAATCTACTCCACAAACTTTGTGGGCAGAGCATCCCTAGGGTACATAGTGGTACTATACTTAAAAGTGGCCTCTTTGGTCTCTATTTTAACTGGCCTACTAAGAATTGTCTCAAGGAGGCAGCTTCTGAGACAAAAAAGATGACTCAGTTATCATTACTGTTGTTGTTTACGCGTGTCTTACTCTTTGTGACTGACTCTTCATGACCCCATTTGGGGTTTTCTTAGCAAAAATACTGGAGTGGTTTACGATTTCCTTCTCCAGTTCATTTTACATATGAGGAAACTGAGGCAAACGGGGTTAAGTGACTTGGCCAGGATCACACAGCTGGTAAGTGTCTGAGGCCAGATTTAAACTCAGGAAAATGAGTCTTCCTGACTTCAAGCTCAGCACTTTATCCACTGTGCCACAGTGCTGCTTGATCACTCTGTTAGCTGCTTTTAAGAAACAAGAACAACAGTAACCCTGAAACTGTTACATAATCAACCCATAAAAATCCCCTTCTGTCTCTTTCCATCTGTTCCCTACTACCAAAGCAAGGCAGTGAAACTTGGCTGCTTGTGCCTTCTATCCCTACTCAGCCCACATTCCTTTGCAAGGCTGTCC